TCCTTGCGGCGAGGAGCTTCTGGGACGCTTCGAGCCGCGGCGCAGCGCGGCGCAGCGTGTCTGGTGGAATAGCACCCATTGACTAGAGTGGCCGCGATCGCTAAAAACGCCGCAGCGCAACGCAGCGCAGACGCTCCTGGTCGGATTAGGGGGTGAGACAGAAGTCATTGACTATTTTAAGTCGGGGTCAGAGCTGGCAGTCTTGAGCCGTTTCCCTAATATAAAGCGCATCTTCCTGAAATACAACACCGCTACTCCATCGAGTGCGCCGGTTGAGAGGCTTTTCAGCCTAGGCAGTCTTGTGCTAACACCAAGAAGAAATCGGTTATCCGATAAACTATTTGAGAGACTCCTCCTAATGCGTTATAACCACTGCTTCAGTGACAAACACATCAAATAAGTGTGAAGTGTTCAGTCTGAGATCATGAGAGGGAGTGTGGCCTATGTTCACAGCCAATGCCACTTTGGCCTATTTTCGCTTTTGATTGTTATTAATGATGTTAAAAGGCCATATTGACTATATTGTATATTTTTTAGCTTACTGTTCAATTAATGAAGCTCATGCTTTAGGTTGTGTTATTTTTCATTAGCCTTTAGGCTATTTGCTAATAGGCCTTTTTTTTGTTGAGGCAGTCAATATTTGTGTATTTAATGTGTTATCAAGGCCAACCTCTTATTTAGTTTTATACAGGCTATTTATTTGTAAAGTATTTGTTTATTTTGCCAGTGTCACATCACATTGATATGGCCCACTTGTTCCGTTATTACAATTTTTCTCTTGAAATGTTCTTTAAGTTTCACAGACTTTTAGCTTGTTGTGGTAGGCTGGTAGCCTATTTTATTAAAGAGCATATAAAAAGAAAGACTTGTGTTATATCTTCCTTATTGCAATAGTAATTGGGGGTGCAAGTGGAGTCTCGCAGAGGCAAAACTGTGGCGCGCTTACACTGTAGGTGCGCCGCAGTCTGCGTGATCTGCCTGTAGGGAGGGGCGGGCCGGCCCTGCGAGTAAAGTAACGAGTAAAGTAACGAGTAAAGTAACTAGTAAAGTAACGAGTTACTTTATGTAGAGAGTAACGAAGTAGTGTAATACATTACTTTTTTTAAAAGTAATATGTAATATGTAATATATTACTTTTTTTTAGTAACGACCCCATCTCTGTTTGTGAGTTGTGTCGCATTGAAGATGACGCCACTGCAGTTTTACCCAGCGTCGCTCCGCCCAAAAAGCCCGCCAAAAAGCCGATCGCCCCGCCTACACTGCGTTGCTACCCCAGGTCCTAAACTGTAATGGAAATGCGCCACGGCCTCGGACGGCCAGCTAGGCAGCCCGAGGCCTGAGCGAAGACGCTTAGGGACGCTTAAACGGGGCTACCCCGCTGCAGTGGAAATGTGCCAGTAAAGGTTGGAGCAGATATTTCCAATTATTTTGAAATAGAAAATGGTATTCATTGGTAGACATTTTTAGATCAATTATGAGGTCCACAATAGACTATGGTTGTATAGTGTATGGAGCAGCAGCAAAAACATCTCTTTTGATAGAATACAATATAAAGCATTGCGGTATGTGTATTGGAGCGATAAAGTCATTCCCTATTAATGCAGTTCTGATAGAAGCAGGAGAAACACCTCTGGAGATCAGAAGAGACAAAATTGCTCTGTCATACAGGGTCAGACTGGAAGTGGAGAAGAAAATATTACAAACAGAATATTACAGGATTGCTGGGAATATGCAACATTCCAGGGACGTGGGTTTGGCTGGACAAGTAAGGGAAGAACGAGGGCATATGGAGTGGAGACTATCAAGTTTGCCAAAGCAACCCCATTTAGTAGTGTTCCCCCATGGCTTTTCCCAGAAGCTAAAATAGATATGAGTATTGTAGAAAGGAAAAAAGAGTGGCAAATAAATGAAGTGGAACTTAAAACAAGTATGTAGGCTATCTGAACGAAAAGTACTACAATTACCTAAAAATGTACACAGATGGTTCTAAGAACAAGGAAGAGTGTGTTGGAGTTGGTATATACATTCCAGACTTTAAAATATCGATTTCAAAAAGACCGCAGCCTGTTGAGACTGCACAGAGGCGGTATTCTGCTGGGTGCCTGCACATGAGGGGGTGAAAGGGAACGAGTGTGCTGATAAATTAGCAAAAAGTGCACTACAAAAGGAAATAACATTACCAGTTCAACTTGGTAAACGAGAAGGAAAAGCAGTAATTAAGAAAAAAGGGATGGAGATCTGGCAGAAAAGGTGGGAGAAAGACCAGAAAGGCAAAGACTATCACAAAGTACAAAAGACAATTACAATTAATATTTATAAAGAAAGAAACAGAAGGGAGGAAATCACGATAGCTATACTCAGAATAAATCACACGACTTTGAATGGTACACTGTATATCATGGTGAAAAGTGACAGCGACAAGTGTGTGAACTGTGGAGTAAAAGAAGATGTTAGAACATATCTTGTTACATTGTGACATCTATAAAGCGGAGAGAGTGTCACGATCTGCCTGTATTGTATTTTGTCTTGTCTTGTTTCATGTTTTATGTTGAAAGGTCTTCACTTCCTGTCTTGCCTGTTTCTGTCTGCGTTGTGTCTTGTTTAAATCTGTCTGTGGTTCCCGGTCGTTAGTTTCCCTGGTGTGTCTAATTTACCCGATTGTGTTCACCTGGTGTCCCTGTGTTTTCTCCTCCCTCCTCACCTGTGTCTTGTTTCTGTGATTAGTCTTGTGTGTATTTAAGTTCTGGTTTTTCTGTCTGTCTTTGTCGGTTCGTCTTTTGTCATGACTAGTTCGTTGGTGAGTGTTCTGTTTTGTCTTTGTTGTTCACCTAGCCTTGAAATAAAGGAATTCTCACTTTAATCTGCATTTGGGTCCTACCTGCTTCACACACCGTGACAGAGAGAAAAACTAAAGGCTAAAGTTTTAGAGGCAGAGAGGGAATGGAGTGTGGTTGGTGTTTTGGGAACAAAAGGAGAGGGAGTAAGGGTGCATTCACACCAAATCAGTCTAGTCAGTTTTCTAGTGCGCACCAGACGACAGTTTGTTACATTGTTTCATTTTTCAGAAGGTTTGGTTTGCGTTCACACAGGCAAAACTCAAACGGACTATAAACTTTAAACACAATGTGCACGGAAATGCTGTTCAACCATTGGTCAGACATTAAGGGGGTAAAAACCGTAAAAACGCAAATCCCGGCAATTTCTACCGGAGCCTCAGCCATGGCATGGAGCATCGGCACTTTCGGCAGGTTATTCTCATGCTACTGTTAATCTGGAGATCAACAGACACTAGTATATGATTATATAATCAGACCACGTCCGTTAAGAAACATTATAACACATAATGAGAGACGTTCTGCAGTAAGGAAGGGGTTTCACCGACGACAGGTGTTCTAACTTTTATGTAGTTGTAGTTTTCACTCTTTAACTAAACAACCGTGGATGTCTTGAAAGACTCTTTCGCTAAAGATTTTTGAAGACATCCGCGTTCTTGTGACACGTAAATACTACGCTTCCTATGTGTTGCTGCGGACTGCGTTCACACCAGCAATGAACCGCTCCAGAGTTCGCAAGCAAGCGGTCCGAGACCACCTATTTTAGCGGACCAGAGTCCGGTTGTTTAGTTCACTTAAGAGGTCTCGGACTGTGTTCACACCGAACCAAATGAACCGCACCAAGCGGCTAAACGCACCAGGGTTCGATTCAACCGGACTATACAAGCCAGGTGTGAACGAGCTACCAGAAAGGCACTGTTTTCCTTCTTGAGTGAAACTGGGGTAGGAAAAATAATTGACCATTAGGTCCAAGTCAAGATCATAGATTTTAATTTTTGTTTTATTTATTTCATGTTTTTTGTTGATTTAAAAAAAAAGTTTTATTAGATCATAGGTTAAAGAGTTGGAATGATATGATGATTCATATTCATGCACCTTTTAAGTTGTTTGCAATCTGCCAAAAAACGAGAGAAGAAGAAGAAATTATACTGCAACACCGTCACTGGCCCAAAACGATACAAGCCTTGATATATAATAATAGGGTGACCAGACGTCTCCGTTTTCCGGGATGGGACAGTCCACATTTGTATTGGCCTGTCCCCGGTTGAACCTGTACCCGGAAATGTCCCCGTTTTTTAAATATAGGCCTACGTTAAAAACACATAGCAAGGTGAAATAAAACGTTTCATGTCAGGAAACACGGTAAAGACTACAGACTCTGGTCAAGCCAGCCCCCACTTCGGAAAACTCAGTCAAGCCAGCCCCCACGTTGTATTGCGTTGGGCGAATATCCTAGCATTACGGTAGAGGCCTGTAAAAACTGCCTTCAAAATAAAAGCGTTTACTCGGTCAATAACAAATATACCTAAAAACACACCAAACATATTCATATATACTGGAGCTTAAATTAAGAAATATGTCCTATATAATGTGATCAATAATAATTTAAAACAAACTAAGTATAACTACCACATTATAACTGAGTGAATGTAAAATGTAAGGATACAGTTATGAAGACATATCTGACATTTCCACTGGGTGACTAATTTCAATTGATGTTGACACCATCTCACAACACTCCTAAAATAACATTACTTTCTGAAGCACAATTTAAAATGTATGCAGTTTAAAATCTCAAATTGGATCTATTGTCCATCTATATTTTGATTATTATTTAATGGAAACCGTCCATAATCAAAGATTCATTCGAAGTCAATCAAATACTTATTTCACTTCAGGGTGATAGGATAGCAAGAGACCCCATCTAGTCAATCTGAGAAAATCAGGACAATCTGATGTAGAGTCAAAATAAAAGACCTTTGAAGTCTCATATATGAGCTATCGTCCTTCTGTTTGTATCCAACACTTAAAATGTTCGAATTACATTGAACCAGAATTGTCCCCCTTTTTTATTTAACAGTGAAGAAAATTGGATATGTTATGAGATTTTGACCGCACAACTCAAAATGTCCCCGGTTGTAATTTTGAAAATCTGGTCACCTTAATATATAACCTTCACAAAAAGATTCGGGGATTACTCGACACCCTCCGAAGCCTCGGCGCAATACGTATCATCACTAGTTACAACAAATATCGGGTGCAAACCTTTATACAGTCTATGTCCAACTCCAAACATGTTTTTTATTTTCCTTTAGTGACGTAGTTCCGACGTCACCTTTTCTTCCCGCCTGGGAGTGAAAATGGCGTATGGTTATCTTGTTATCTCCCCGTGTGGTTGGTAACATACACTGGTTAGTACACCTCTACTCACTATCAAGAAACAACTACATTACGCATTTAGCTGTCAGTGGATGAGGCGGTGTTCACTGTTGCTGTCGTGAGGTTTTCGGAGGTTCGGGCCCGGTAAATCACCGCATAAAGGCGGCAGGAGCTCCCCTCTTCCCGAACCGTGAGTATCTAATTTGTCCGCCATGAGGATTTTATATACACGTCTAACTTGCTTGTAACCCATTTTGGCTTTCCTTTTTGTTACAACGCCTAGTTGTGTTTATTCAAAAGACATGTGTGGATTTCAGAAACCGATCTTTTGTCGAAAGGAATAACTGTGTAGTTAGTAATTCAAGAACATGGCGTAGCCTACTGGCTGCAATGTGGTTCAAAAAAAGATAACGTGCTTGTTATTCTAATATGTGATATATCATCCGAGTTTTCTTCTTAAACCACTTGCGAAAGTATTGTCAAACCCGATTGTTTTGCATAAACCTAGATTGAGGCGTTTTAACGACAACACATGGCGCTATTTCCTGACGGTCCTCTCAATGCTAGCATGGGTTTGTTTGTATCCAAACCGTTACAGTACCGTTATGTGTTTCGGTGGAAACATTTCCCCATCATATGATTTAAAACACTTTCATTTGGTGGACATTCCACACTTAATTCCAACATCTGGTAAGAAATGGACAAATCTACAAGTTTAAACCAACGTTGTGTTATTTATAAACAGTTAAAGCATTTAACAGAATCAATCTGAAAGGACAGTCTTGCACCAGCAATGTAGTACAAGTTCTGACAAGGTTACAACAGAAAAGCAATCACTTTGTACAGGAAAAGACATAAGAAAGGGAAGGTCTTAGTCAATCAAATTCTACATTACAGGCTATTGAAGATCGGTGGCTAGACGGGGGTTAAGTAGAAACATGTTAATTATTCAGTATAATAGTAACGTTATTGAAGATTATACCATATTTATTGAAGATTTTACACTATAAATATTCACCAAAATTATTCCAAACCATATTCTGCTAAACTCTCTGCTGTAGTCTGACCACCAGGAGACTATTGATGTGTGTAGTGAGTTTGGTAGAAATATACTGTATAATAGTGACGTTATTGAAGATTATACCATATTTATTGAAGATTTTACACTATAAATATTCACCAAAATTATTCAAAAGCACATTCTTCCAAACTCTCTACTGTTGTATGACCAACAGGAGACTATTGATGTTTGTAGTGAGTTTGGTAGAAATGTACTGTATAATAGTAACGTTTTTGATAGGGATGCACGATATTGGTTTTTTGAAACCGATACCGATACCTTCCTGCTTCTCAAGACCGATAACCGATAATAATATATATATATATATATATTAAATGTACCTGTAGTTTTTGCACACCTGGTGGTAAAAAAAAGACTAGTAGTGAGCAAATGACATGAGCATTACTACTATGAACAAAACAAAGCCAAGAACAGTTTTGACTCTTCAAAATGACCATATTTATTACAGTATTACAGTATTTATTACAGCCTCGTCGATAGGTAAAAGCCCCGGTGCCTTTGCAGCTGGCTTTGGATTCGCCGCTAGTTTAGCAGCGCAGGCGTCTTCGTACGCTTTTAACACACCATCGTAGCAATGGCGATGTTTCAGGTGACTAATCAAGTTGGAAGTATTATAGCTCGTTGCCTTTTTCCCTCCTCGTGGAACTTCTGCATTGCATTTGTTAATACAAATAGCAAGCAAACTATCTAACTCTGAAACTTTGAAATAGTCCCATACTACCGACGACATGTTTGTTTACTGTCCTGGCTTCACGGCCGCACACCATTTATGTCACAGCCAGGCATGAGTTAGGGAGCGCTGGATTTGTGAAAAACTCCCCTCTTCCTAAACCACTAATACCACAGTACTGGCAAAACGGGAGGAGCCGAGTGAAAAACAAGCGCCCCTCATCCCAATTCACCCACATCACAGTATTTTTTCTTTTTTTTTTACCCAAAAAATATATTGTATATTATCGGGGCTATTAATACTTGTATCGGGTTTATCGGGATGACGTCATAATTCCTAATATCGGCCGATAATTGTCGTGCACCACTAGTTTTTGAATATTATTGTATTCTCTTTTTTCGGAGTTGCACTTTGCAGACGGTCCCTGAGCACTCATTTCTTCTCCGGCTGCAGATAGAGACCAATGTAATGTGTCCAGTTTGGAGGACGGCACGTATTGGCTTTTTTTGATCAAAATGTGATTATAGTTCGTTGTCAACCTTACCACTGTACTTAGGAGACGTACTTTGTGTCTGAACAACTTTTTGTTCATGAGTTATTGATCCGTGAAATCTGTATCTGCCAATATCGTTCCAACTTTACTCAACTAATTATAACCGGTAATATCCGTATGATAATTTTCCTAACAGTGGTCAATATGACACCCAGTTTGTTGAAAGCTTCAGAACATTTAGTAGAAAATCAAAGTTATAATAATGACATATATATATAATTAAAGGAGATTTATGATACATTTCAATGAAAGTCACCTATGCCCGGGTACTTCATGCTTCAAAGTAGAGATGGGAACGATTAATCGAATATTCTAATATTCGAAATTGTTCAGGTAGTCGAATAATTATTCATGTATTCGAATATGAGTTATGAATATATATTTTTTGTTTTTGGGAGGAATACCTAAGTTGATTACATATTATCAAATTGAATAATTAAATGTGTGTGTATATATATATATATATGACAGTGCCATAGCTAAATGTGTTAGTTGACGTCTAAAGGTGTGTTTTGCTCCGCTCACCGGTCCCTCACAGCGGGCAGAGCTGCAGGTGCTGAACCCTCTCTCTCGCGTCCGGTTATACTTCACTCGCGTTTATGTCCAAATCCATCAGATCTAGCTAGTTCTAGCTAATGATAGGACTACCTGCTTATTAAAAGACACCTAAACAATAAGTGTCGCTATGCAACCGGGTGAGGCCACAAAGTATAGCGCAGCATTATGCATTTGTTTACATGCCCACCGGAACTCCGAGGCATTACCAACAGATCAACGCACAATCAACCCATACAGGACATCTCTTTCTCCACATTAAGTGTTAGACATTAGAATTGACTATTCTTGTCTGTCACATACTCTTCTTGTCTGTCACATAAGTGGCGCAACTGAAGCGGTATTGCGCTAAAGGGAAATTATTTTGACCGAAGAGATATAGATTTGCCGGCTAACGGGAACTCTGACGTCGCCATTGTGTGTGCTTCGCGGATTAATGAAACAATTAATCGACTATTCGGACTAGTGTTGTCACGATACCAACATTTTGGTTTCGATACCGATACCAAGTCAAGAATTGCGATTCCGATTCTTTTTCGATACTTTTCTTAAAAAAAGGGAAACAGACTTAAATGTAATTGTGCTTTATTTCACACCAGATCACTATACACACACATACTATATATACTATACTATTCACCAGAACCATAACACACACTTTTAAACAATGAGAGCAATAAATAAAATAAATGACAAGAATTCGTATTAAATAAAATTAAACAAACAACCTTTGTCAAAATAGATTTGTATATTAAACGAACAATGAGGTCTCCGACAAAAAATAGAACATAGCCCTACTGTTTAGCAGCATAACTGGCTTGATTATGTCCCTACTCAGACTAAACCTTAGTCCTAGGGTGGCAGGCTGGTTTTCATTTTTTATTCAGTTCCTTTGCCTTGTTAAGATTTTTGGCCAAGAAAACAAGGGTTTCTAAGTGTTCCTCAGTCAGTCTAGAACTCCTGTAGGACTGCAGATGTTTCCAGATGTGCTGAAGACGCGTTCAGATGCACAGCTGGATGCTGGAATGCACAGATACTGTTTTGCAAAGCGAGCCAGCATGGGCAGGTGTACCTCATGTTGACTCCACCAGGTCAGGGGGTCCTCTGCAGGGCTAATGTCTGTTAATAGCTTGTAGTCAGTGATCTCACCATTTAGTTTATCTGTGGGTATTGTGGGTGTGGAAGAATCTTGTCTTGTTCCAGAATGATCTGCCCCCTTCTTTTCTGAGGTGATACTGCAGAGCAAATGTTTTAGGTCACTTATTTTTCTCTTCCCTGCAGCTGCAGCAGCTGTTCCTCCTCTATTGTCATCTGTGTCTTCTGGTTGCTCCTCCATAGGAAGCATAACGGTCTCAGCTTTGAGGAGCAGTTCCCTCTTGACTTCCTCTTCCATAGTAACAAACGTACTCTTAAATCTTGGATCTAGGAAAGTGGAGATGTTTAGCATCATCTTCAGATCGTGCTCATTGTATCTCTTTTCTAAGTCTTCTCTAATTCTGTGCTTCATTTCCAGCGCCAGTGGACGGTCACCTTCCTCATCTTCTGTGCAGGCTCTTATCTTCCACATGAGTGGCAGGACTGATGAGATTGTTGTTTCTTTCTCTCCACTTAGGGCATCTGTGAAATCACTAAGTGGAGCCAGGACGTCCCTCACAATTTCCAAAGTTGTCATGTCTGTGTCTCTGGGCATCAGGTGCCACTTCTTTCTGTCCTCAGCCAGAACAGCAGAGACAGCTTGCTGCTGCTCACAAAATCGTTCCACCATATCATAGGTGGATCCCCATCAGGTGGGCTCATCGTGAATTAGTTTGTGTGGTGGCAGCTGTAAAGATTTCTGTTTGTCTTTCAGCAGTCTTGACATCTTATTAGATCTTGAGAAGCCAGAGACAGTCTTGCGGATCCGGGACAGACAGCTTGCCACACGATCAATGTCTATGGCTTTGTTGACTGACAAATGTAAGTTGTGACCAAAACAGGGTATCCAGGTGTAGTCAGCAAAAGCCTTGCGGTTGTTAGAAGCATTATCTGTTGTGATACCAGACATTTTGGCCATATCTAGCCCCCAGGAATCTGTGACAATTTCCTCCAGGGCTTCCTTCAGAGTGTCAGCTGTGTGGTCAGAGTGCAATGCAGAGCATCCTAAGCACCAGGACTGCATTTCCCAGGACTTTGTTATGAACTGGACTGTTACAGCCATGTATGTGTCTACAGTTCTGCTGGTCCAGAGGTCCGTAGTGCAGGAGAAGAATGGCTTTGGTGTCAGCTGTGCACTGATTATAGACCTCGTCTCATTATAGATCTTGGGAATTTCATTATACATAAAGAAATTCC